ATTTTAGCTGTCTGTTATTATACGTTTATAAGCGGTTATTATATTAATATAAGTGCGTTAATTCAGATTTAAATACAGTTAAAATGTGTAAAATCATATGTAGAGCAAAAGAACTGGATTCTGGAAAAAATTGTGGCCAAATATTTAACCGGTTCTAACACGTTTCACAAAAACCGAGGAAATGAATCGGAAAAAAACTAACGAGTCCGAGAGCATAGAACTTAATTTAACCAGAAATCGTGGCTTTGTCGAGGGTTTTTCGATCGTCATTATCGGTGGGTGTCACGGAGATTTCGATGATCACGGTGGTCTATATGGGTCGCCCATAAAATTCGTTACGCTGCCCGGAACGCCGTACGTTACCGTCGTCTGTGAAAAGGGAACGAGAAGAGGCAAGTGAGAAGATGAGAAAATGAAAGATATTCCGGCTTTGCGGAAAGGAAAATGTCCGGTGTTAGGTATTGGTATTAGTTTTTCACAACAACTGTTCAACTCATTATCTTGACCGACTGCCTCAGGGAAAAAAACAGAAATGATAACTTTTGCCTCTTCCTTTTCATACCTCTGTTAAATCCAGTGAGCTCCCGCTGGAATTCCCTTGTAACACACATTTTCACCTAATAAGTACGAAGAAAGAAAATCCCAAGGGGAAAAGTCTTTCGGCACTTCATTGGTGATGGTTTTCAAATTCTAACGTAAACTCACAAGAGACACATATTATATTTGAAAGCATATTTTAACTGTTTTATGCTAGTTTGTGCATTCGTGCAATGCGTGTCTAATTATTATAAGCTTTAATTTGTCCATATCGCCAATATAACGACGTATCCTATAATTAGAATTCACAGTGAATCATGAAATAATGTGTACACTCTCATATTCATTCGTATCATTTTGAGCTACTGTCGATACTTTAGATTGCTTATTGAGATTCTACCACTTAGAGATGCATAAAGCAGTGATAATTCAAATTTATCGCTTGGTTGTTCGCGAGGTTATCTGCGTTAGAAGCCATGTGCTGGATCTGTTCGGATGGTAGCAAAGTATGAGCTTCATCTTTATCTCGGGCAATACTTTATTGCACGCATGGCAAAAAATTTATTTTATATTCTAACAAATCGTAAATAAAACATAATCAAGCCGAGTCTTTTAATTCTTTAATTAATTGAAAAAAAATTTTTAAATATTGCTATTAGTATTACAATTTTTCCGTCACGCGAGAGAGACATTATTTTTATAAGAAAGAACTTAAGTCTGATTATGAATCGCATTCATTACAAAGTTCCCAGGAGGCGGCATTACAAGTCGCGCAACATATCAAATATTTACAAGCAACAGGCAATTCTATTTCAAGTTATCGCTATGAGCACAGCATGCACCGCCGTAAAATAAATATGGCACGAATACAGCACTAATATCGGACGAAGCATCGCGTTTATCCGGACGCTTCGTTTAGCCATCGTTAAAAGCGGCGGCGTATCGGGCGTGGATTCGTAGAAGCCGCGCGGCGCATTCGCGCGCATTTATACATGCGTGCAACTTAGAGTGCGGCATTAAGTAATTATCATAAGCGTCGGCTTAAGTACGGTACAGACAGGCTGTCCATCACGCGAGTCCACGTCCTCGCTCTCGGCGATCATACATAGTAACGACTCACTCGTCCGTGACTTACAGGCGAGAACGATTATTTCTGCTTACGCTCGCGCGCGGAGGCGTGAAGAAACGCACGGCGACGCAGACGGACATCGGCAACAACATGATCATGCGGGTTTGCTCGCGGCGATTAGTGTTGGGATTAGACTCTAGGCGAGTGGCAAAAACTTTTTCGCAAGTGGCGAATTTTTCGGTGAGCGCGCCGAGCTTGATACAAACACACGGAGACGCGTGAATCGCTGACAAATATTTGTCAGAGATAATTCTGTGCGCGTGCACACATGCGCAACTTGTGCCGCGAGTAAACGCAAGACTTTTTGGTACACGTTTCACTAATCACTCGATGACAATCGTGGAAAGCTCAAACGAAAGGCGTGCAATATGCGGCCGCGCGCTGCGAGCTTTGAGCGAAACGTGCAATCGCATCTTCCCGGCGATGCAGCTGAACATTCCACACGTAATTGCCTCGGATTTCGCTGGCTAACGATAAACCGCCTCACCTTCTCCTCGGTAAATAATGGCGCTCCTTTCCTCGTTACCGCGAAAACATAAAGAAGCGGATTAGCATCGTTTATCTTTGGATCGACATGAAAGTCGTCTTTAAAGCAAACATGGAACGTTCTTTTTTTTGCAATAAATATTTTCCCGTATCATACAATATTGCGCAAAGCAGGGAATTATATAAGCTCTTATATAATAAAATAAAAATCACTCTTGATTCCCTCTCCTTACTATAATACGCATTTCATCGTCATATTATTCTCAGCATCTCACAGAAATATGCAATTTTATGTTGCGAGTGTTCTTTTTTTTTATTAGAGTGATTTTAACAGAATTAAACTGAAAGATACCGATTTTTATCATTGATTTCTTGTAAATGCGAAATTTTTAGCGTCCATCGCAGAAAAAGTAAACCCGACCGGAATTGTCGTACTTTCCACAAAATTGCCTCGAATTTCGCCTCGTTGATGATAAAACATCGGCGCATACTCAGATTTCTCTCTTTCGCCAACAAACTCACCAAATATATGACACCGTGTTAAGATAAAAACGCAATTGTGAAGTCATTGCACGAAATTAGTTGCACCGGCGCCGCACGCTCATTTCGACTCCATCAATCTCGACTCCTGGCCTCGTTACTTTATTGTCCTGCTACCGGATATGTATCGCGGAATCCGCCTTTTAAGCTACTGCCAAATTACACGTTATTCGGTAAAAGGGCGGACGTACATGTTGCCGGTGATTTATGCCGCGATCTATCATAACTGGGGAATACGCATTTGCTGCGCTTTTCTCGTCGCTTTTATTCTTATCGCTGGTAGGTGCAAAAGCGATACGGCCGACGCCGGTCGCTTTCCATCCTCTCGAGTTATCGCAAGAGGACAAATAAATTTGTTGGCGCAGATCGATGTACAAACGTTTAATCGCGTTTAACATTTGTCGTACTTTACCAACATTTGCAAAGGACTTGAGAGAACGTTAGCAGCAACGATAACGATCATTTTATTTAGCATTACGACAATTGAAACATTTGTAAAACTAATTACGTTATGTTATGCGATGATTTAATCCATTTGATAAATGTACATAACTCTCACTAAAAAACTTCGATCGATTGTATAACTTGTGTTTTAGCGCGTTCCTGAAATTCGATCTTTTGTAAAAGCATGTCATCTTGAAGAAATATCCTTTATTTATTATAATTTTCAAATTACGCTTGCGCGAAAGCACACTTGTGCGATAAAAATTCTATATAGTTAGGGAAGAAATTTCTGACGTGGACAACATCGTGTAGAGTCCTCCTGGCGGAGGGAAGCCAACCCCGTTGGTAGTTCCATAGCTACGCTGTCCCGCATTCCGCGATGCGTTCCCACACACATGCGCGTGCACACCTCCACCTTTCGATTCACGCATTCCCGACGGAAGAGTAGCGACCGGCGAGGCGCGGCGCGCGGAAAGGGGAAGAAACCACTCGGACCTCGTAGTGAGGGAAGAGTTGAATGAAAAAAGAAGGTAAAAAAAAAAAAGGTAGAGGGACCGGGTGCGCGCGGTGGACAAAGAGGGTGGAAGGGAAACAAAACGAAGCGACGGAGGTGTAGACGAAGAGTGGGGTGACTCCTCGTCGGGAGTGCGGCGTGGACTCCTTGCGCGAGAAACACGGGGTTGTAGTGGGAGCTCGGGCGTAACCTTCGTAAAGCCTGCCCACTGTTTCCCCTTGAGAGCCACGTGCTCGCCTGCCAGACACAAGAGCTCTGTCAGAAACTGCCAGCTTCGTTCTACGAGGGAACGAGGACGCACGGACGGGAAAACGATGACGAAATAGCGATCGCGACCCGGCAATAGTCGGCAATAGTCGGCGATGAGTGCGATGTGAAGAGGAATTGCCGCTAAAGCCAGGTGCTTTCGTGATCATTGACACTAAGTTATATGTTAGTGTGAACTTTCAAATGACAGTTAAATTGATGACAAATAACAATCTGCAATAAAATAATATGTCTTCTCATGAAATTTGTGATAATTGGTAAAATGAAATCATCTCGCTCTTGCGTGATCTATACCTTACATTTCACATTTTGTATTCGAAGAATGATTAATATGTTGTTTTATTAAATTGTAATCGTAATGGTTTTATCAAATTAATATAACATTTCTTCATCTCTTCGTATACTTCTGCCTCTCAACCGTCTCGTGAAACTGTTTTTCGACAATGGGGGTTGATTCAATTCCGGAGCGCATCTCTCAGATGCCACGGGAGGTAGACGAAAGCATGAATCGCGCGAAAGGAGGTGGAAGGAGGAGTAGAAACGGGAAAGGATTATTAGCGAACGCTGATGCAAGGTAAGAGAATGACGACGTTGACGAGGAAAGAGGAGGAAGCAGATGACGAGAAGCACCGCGGGAGAAGAGGCCGAGGAGATGCCGCTGGTGGTGGAGGAAAAGGAAAAGGCAGGGGCAGAGAGGCGGGGGCCGGGCCGAAAGAGGCGGAGCGAGATTTAATCGGTCTTGGGAGGGTTCAGTGGTCTCCATCGCATCAGGGGGGAAAGGAGAACGTGCCGTTCTCTCTCTGAAGAGAGATCGGCTCTTCCGCGGAGGAGCGCGTGCAGTCGCTAGCCGAGGCCTATACTTGCCCGTCGAAGGGTATTGGTTCTCCAACTCGTTGCACCGTACCCCCCAAGCAGTGCGAGGGCAGCGCGAAACGGGCAGACGTTCCGCAAGAGACAGAGAGAGAGAAAGAGAGAGAGAGAGAGAGAGAGAGAGAGAGAGAGAGAAAGAGGGCAAGCGAGAGAAAGAAAAAAAAAACAAGAAAGAGATTGAGAGAAAGAGAGAGAGACAGAGAGACGGAAAAAAAGACGGGTCAAAAAGAGAGGACGCGAAACAGAAAAGGGCGAGTAGAGAACATCTCTCCCCTACGTCGTCTTACGTCGTCGTACCCCAACACGAGCACGCGTGCACGCACGCCCGCGGCAGGAGGCACGCATGCACGCTCGCGCGCACCACCGTCGTCGCCACCGCCGCCACCGCCGTCGCCGCCACACGTTGCTCGATCGGAGGATCTCTCTGTCGAGGAAGCAGAGAGCTGGGACGGTCGAGACGAACACGAACGGAACGGAAGCAGCAGAGCGCGTGACACGCGTGTACGTTGCCCCTGAGAGATTAGGCTCGGAAGAGCGCTCGGCTCTTTCCGGCGGCTCGAGTTTGTACCTGACGTATCCTGCAGCCGGCGCGCAACGTCCACACAAGGGCTGGCAGGTATAAAACGTTCCTGGGCCGTGTCTTTCCCACCACGAATCGCTCGGTCGCACGCTCTCGGAGGGTGACACCCACCCCCTAGAGGACGGCTCTTCGGGGGGGGTGAGTTTCGTAGCTGGCTAGCGCGGCGCGGGAAGCGCAGTCAACGGCAAGAGAAGCTAAGCGTTGCAGTATTTGTCGGAACTGACCGACACCATTGACAATTCTCGCAGGAGGCTCATTCGATCGGACGACGAGCAGGACGACAGACGCGGATCACCGGGTCAGTGCGCGGAAGTGCTCGCAGAAGGACGGCACGTCTCTACGCTCGATAAGCGCCGCTCGTCGGGGCTCCGATACGGTTCGCCGCGCGTCGATTTCCAAGGGTGATCGCGCGGTGATCAGTGACCGTTATCGAAGTATCCACGGAAGGATCGCGCCTGAATCCCGGGACGATCTTATCGTGCGATTAGCTTCGGGGTCGTGCGCATGACCCCGTTGAGTGCGATTCGAAGGCGTCCGAAGAGTTCGCGCCGACGTTAGGATCGAGAAACCGGAGTTTCTCGCGCGAGATGTTCATTCAGTGATAGATAGTTGGTGCACCGGTGATCGGAGATAAGGACGACACGGGAGGATTTACGCGCGGGACACCCTCGTGGATCGAGATACACGCGAGACACACGCCGGAAGATGAGGCCGTGGATGTTGCTGGTCGTGCTTTCGGCGATCGCGCACGCGTCACTTGCGGAGATCGCCAGGCCGAAGAATCGCGGCAGGGGATCCATGTGGTGGTAAGTACTAGAGTGTTACTCGAAACAGTTCCGAGCTCGCGTCGGACAGTTTCACTTTTCGACATATTACCTTCGGTGTTAGTCGCGTTCCCGTTCGTTTTGTCTCTCGCTTGTCGCGCCGTGAAACTTTTTATCGCGTGCATTAGCGGTGTGAAGGTTCTCGAAATGAATTATGGTCGCACCGAACGATTAATAGACTTGTTGACAAACTCATTGACTAGACTTAATAATCCGAGAAGTTGAGGGGAAGAAAAGAATATCCCTCTGCATTTTGTCACATTATGAAGATCCGTTCGACTTTCTCTTCTTACTCAACTGTGAAATATCAACTGTCATGTTGCGCATGAAATATCGAGAAATAATGATGTGATTATAATCTATTGAAATAGACTTCTGCAATTAAATGGCAAGACCTGTAATACTCGTTCCTTCTGCTGAAAAATTCTCATTTTCTCATCAACTCATTCATATTATTCATTTCCTGTGACTAATGGTGTTAATTAATCGACACGGACAATTTAACCTATTCGCTCAAAAATGTATACACTGTATTTAAAGAAAAGTTAATAATCTTAATTATTGACACATGAAAAGAAGCATTTTTTTCTCTTTTATTACTTTATTGGCGACCTTAAAGACTTACTTCCCGTTTTTAACGATGACATCACAACTAACGATTGAAACGCTAATTGAGATCGCGATTGCAATCGCTGAATCATCGAAAATAAAAATCGCGCTGGATGAATCTATTCCACGTGGTCCTCTGCTCCTGATGTTCAGCGAGTTTGCGCCGGCGTGAAGATCGAATGCTTCATCGTTTTCGCTTTTCATCTTTCACTTTCGCATTACTTGTTCTTTTATCAAGAAAGTCTCGGGAATTCTAATTTAATTTTTCAATCCGATCGATTCTTAGATATTATGTCAATCATACAATTGCGATCTAAATAACTTGCGTAATCGTCAAAAGAAAAGAGAAATATAAAATGCTTATTTTGTACTCTAAAATATTCCTAAATATAGACGTAAATTAAAACTTTAAAAATAAACGTCAACGGGTAGAAAATTTTATGTACATTCCAATCGCGCATACCATTCGAGTTTATCACACATTCACGACTTTTATATGTTTTTTAAACAGTCAAAATTACTCGAGTGCGTTAGATTTCTACCTTTACTTATATAATTACTTTCTTTTCTACGCATTTAACAACGTTTTCCAGAGAAACTACGCTCAACTTGCGCTACATAAATATATCATGAAACGATGTCTCACGGCGAGCTAACGCCGCGTTTCATTTTTCTTCCTTTTACCGTTGCATTCGGCATGGTTTCTTTTAATTAAAATGTTACCCGCTTGCATCGAATTGACCTTCATACGTTTAATTACTTCACCTTGCACTCGTACGCGCACGCATTAACACCTGTCTGCCCCGGCATTTATCGCGCTAATCGCGGGAGCAGCGCTGTCCGCTCGCGCGCCATGTCGTTATTAATTCATTAATCATAATTCTAACGCCGCTCGTTTTGATTCGCGAACGCCTTCTTGCGCGTGCGATGTGTATTAGATAATGACTAACTTCATTAGTCCGATCATAAATAAGGCGCGCGATCGAGCGCTCGCGCTCGTATACTATGCCGCGAGATAGCCGCGGCGAATATCCACCTATGACGATAAAACGCTGGCGATAAATCAACAATTTGTCCGGTTTTCGCACGAGACTCGCGTGATGGTGTTCGGTGGCGATGATTATTGTCGCTAAATTGATTGAATCGGTGCGACGCGACGAGTCGCGCGTGAGCCTCGCGATTCCTGGAGCAAACTCGAATCGTGATGTATCGTGCGTCGTTTATTAGCAATTAAAAGGAAACAAGTCTGTTTATTTTTGCTCTCGCCACATTTGCGTCACCATGCAAGTTCAAATAGGAATCTTCCTCGAAATGATTAACGATCAATTAATTAATTGACTGCCTTTGTAAAAACTTACGAAAACTGTCAAGTGAAATAAGTCATTCAATGTATCACGTAAAAAAAATGCAAGAATACCGAAACGGGTGAGAGCAAAAAACTTGTGAGACCTTTATAAAAGTAGAATTTCTTGAAAATTTTTCTAAATTCAGAAATTAATAGCCGCTTTATCCGCGAGGAAAGTTGTGTGTGGCCTAATAAATCAATAGTCTCAATCTTACTTCAGCGATATATCTCGACTACCAATTGAAATGCCAGCGTGGCGGGATAAATAAACGACCGAAGACAAGCAGCACGAATAAATAGGTATTTTATAAGGAAATAAAAAATGGACGGTTCTGCCGCCGGTGTCGGAATGTAAGATAGACGGATTAGTTGTATTAGAAGGAAAGCGCGGAGAGAGAAAGAGAGTCTATTATCCTTATCAACTCGCCGCGGATCGAGACACGTCGGAATCGATCGATCAGCAACCACGACGATCGGTAGACCGGCCAAGAAATCGGTACGCGCGTTATCGCGCGACGTGGGTGGCCGCATCTGGCGCTAATGGTGACGATTAATTGTGTACGCGGGCAATAATTACACCTCGCGGCGACGTAAAGCGTGCGCGCACGCTGAGACTTGCCGGATTTTTAAGACAGACTATTACTTTTACCGCGCGCGCCGTCGTTAATTAAGCGAAGACGCGCTTGAACTTCGCATTATTGTAAATTTGCGAGGATCTGCGAGATTTTCATCGGATAGTGCCGCACCGCGAATCGTCGAGTGCAATCATTCTGCCGCTGCGAAATCTGCGTCATACAAATAATTTTAACACGTGGCGTTCGAAAATAGTCGATAAATCAATAGGTGAGTTTTTCTTGGATTAAAATTGAAGTTTGTATGAATTTCTGTTTTCCCGAATATCAACACGGACGTACCGTATTATTAACAAGATAATTCATCGTACGCAGAGTTTTACATTAAACAAAAGAGACGCTAAAAGGTTTGCAATTAATCATTCTTGTCTCGTATTTCAAATGAGCATCTTTCCGCGTGTTCGCAGCGATCGCTACGATTTTGTATCTATCGCTTTCATCGCGAACCGGTATCTTAAGTATGGTCGATTCATCGACGTGGACGGCTCAGGAACGAGAATCAAGAGCGAGGAGTACGCAGCCGTGACAGCGCGCTCTCCTACGATGAGAAAGACGAGAAGTCGGTCGACCAAGCGAAAAAGACGTCGATGAGCTCCGCGATCGGAGCCGCGACATCTCCGTTCGATTCATGACATCTCGACCTGATTCACGGCGTTCTGGATATGGACGGACTCGTGTTAGAAATGACATACGTCGGGATCGCTCTGTCACGGTTGAAAAGGAACGCTGATGCAAGGGAAGCGCGATTATTCAGAGACGGACATCGATCTGAACAAAAAGGACATTTTACATGAAATGTTTTCTTTCTTTCTATCATGTAAAATATTAAGAAGAAAGTATAATTATTAATATATCTATAATTATTATGTATAAACCTTGCTAAATCATTTTTACTTTCCATGAAAGTGCTTTCGAAGTGCTCTCATCCTGAAATTTTATACGATCTATGTATATAAGTATGTTTGTTAACTTCGAGAGCAGCGAATAACACACGCGCGAAGGCCTTTTGGTATTGAAATAGCGTCATCGTCATAGCGTGAGCTCTTGTAAGATATAAACAATGACTCCATAAATTACATCTCAGAACTGATACAAATAACCAATGGTCTCATCATTCGATGAGATCATTTGACCGATTGATTCTCGATAATCGATAGTTTGAAAGCGGCAAAAGATAAGATTCAGTGCTCAAATAGAAACTTAGGTCCAGCTAAAATTGCTCTTATACACATTAATTAACGCTTCTGATATATTTGTTCATAAAGATGAAAGAAACATTTTTTACATTTAAGAATAAACGAATAAAAATGTTTGAGTCATTGCAACAGTAATCGATTTTCAGTCTCGGTGTATCTTTTAAAGGAAAGAAATAAAAAATATTTTGTTACAAATTTCGGACAATTCTGGGAAAAACGTGCGATACTAAAATATTATCGCGCTCGATACATCGTAGGGATGTTGACGACAATTCAGTGATAACAGTGCGAGTTTAAAATACTCTTATCATTACGAGCGCGTGGCGTAAGGGGATCGTTATTGCCATTTCCCTGCCCTCCCACCTCCCCCCTCCTATCTCAGCGCGATAAATTATTTTCGTCTCGGCGATCGTCTGGCGGTAGAAAGTATGCGAAGGTGGAGGAGACCGGAGGGAGTCGTCCCTGAGCTTTTCAGCCCGACGTAAATTACAAGCAATAGATACATCCTAACCGGTCCGCGGCGCGGCTTATTTATGGACATCGCTTATTGAATGCACCGCATGCGAAGCGCGTCGTATGCATCGCCGCCGATGCTTCATGAAGTGCATTACACGTCGTATCAACCGTGCGAGCTCGCGGATCGCGCGTGGCGAATCGAAGGGCGGTCATGTGCGCATTCTGGGCATTCTCCGGGTCTCCGTGACGCTCGTCAAAGGCCTCGGTGTTCAATTTCGCTATTGCCCCTCTTTACATGTTATCCGCGCGCAGTATATGCCTTAATATGCGTAACACAATTTCGTTTCAGCAAGTCGCGCTATTCTGCATTTAAAAATTTTTTTCAATCTTAAGAATCTTTGTCGTCGAGAAATACTTGGGAGTTTCGTGTCAAATATTCTTGCATTTTTTATGATAAAACAATATGAATAATTAACTGATAAGTCAGCTATTTTTTACCGAACCATTTTTGTTTGATACTTTGATTTGTTTGCCCCGAGTGATTCTGCTTTTGTCCACTGTGTTCTTCAAATATAGCTTTGTTTCATAACTCTGCTATCTTAGTGTTATATTTGACCTACTGCAAGGCTCATATATAGTCCAGAATGCTGTTTATCAGGACACGATCTTCCGGCTCCTTTTACCATGCCACGTGTTTGCCACCTCGCGCTTCAACGCGAGTTTGTTTAGCCCGCGCGAAGTGTCAACGAGAGATCTCGGCGGCGAGTGGCTGACAACCATTTCGCGGTGGACCGCGCGCGCCACGCGGCCCGGTTTCTGTCACTGTCTCGATTTCCGCCCAGACCACGAAGCGTTGACGAAGCCGCGGCGACAGTGATTACCTGTTTACTATTCCGGGCGATGACTGATCCGATCCTACCGCGCGCGAGCTATTTTAAATAAGGGTCGCACGAGCGTCTCCGCGCGGTCTCTCGCTGAAGAACAACAAATATCCGACGCATTTGGTGCTTTTTCACGCGCGGCAAATCGGCCGCGGACGTTTACGAGCTGTTTGGACTTCGGGGAGTTCTTCCCGTCAAGGGTGCTTATGGCACTCGTGCTATATCAACATTTTATTGCGCTGTGTTTGTATCGCCTATAGCCGTATTACTTTATTTTGAACTAGTCTAGTTTTCACTTCAAAACAAACGGCCATCTCGATCCGTAAATACTATATATATACTATATATAAATATCGTATGTTTGTAATTATTTGTTTCTGGCAAAAACAAAATGTGGTCAAAATGAGACACAAATTTATAAACATACGAAGAATATATTTCAGCAACAGATGCACCTGTTTGCCTCGAAATCGCCCTTAGCTGCGAGTTGTGATCGACTTTCCGATTGTTCCGTGATTTCTGTTTCCGAGCGGGTTACAATGTTTCTTACCGCGGTTGATCAGTATGCATTTTGCGCGATCCTGGATTTCTTCAAGGGCCGCGCGTCCCTCTTCCCACGAAGGGCACACCGTGAGCGCATTTAAACGTTTTTCTGTGCGATGCTCGATCGATCGGGACGCGAATTCTTTCACTGGCTGAACTCGCGCGGCAGCTTGATTTATTACACATACAGGGTGTATCAGAAATCGGACACTTTCTCCGAACTGCAAACATAAGGCCAGACAGGCTTAAGGGGAATATTGAGATTATCGATATTGGTCTATTAATACTTTCTCAATTATAAGTAATTAAAATGAAGAGTACTCTTGACTTTATTTTATATATTTTAATAAAAAATAAAATATTACATTTTGTTTCAAGTGTTCCTTATTTGAAAAAAAAACTAATTTAAATCTTGATTATTACTAATGTTTGCAAATCAATAGTTGCGAACAGCTAGCGACTTATCACGCTTTCCTTACAAAAAAAATCGCCTTTCGAACTTATCAAAGAACTTCTTTCCTCTATAGAAAGTCCTTCCGATACACCCTGTATGTACAACGAGCTACCGTTGATCGAAACTGCTGAACCAGTTTCGTCTTTCGTGCTAATCCACCTTCGTCGCTCCTCGTTCTCTCGCGCTGCCTGTTCTTTTCTGAAAGCGCACCTTTTTGCGCGCGAAATCGGCGTTTCGCGGTGACGACCATCGTTTAAATCACGCGCTTAAGCACCCGTAGGTTATACACCAAGCCAGACATTTCACAAGCAATTTCTGCGATAAACAAAATGCAATCATCCGATACCGCGTTTTATGGCGCAAAGATTTCATATTTTTTTAAATATATATATAAGTTTAATTTTCTTTTTGTTTAAACAAATACGAATAAATCAATGATATGCAAAAATACGAAGTCACAATCTTGAAAACACAAATTTTGACTTTAAACAGAGAATTTATTTTGCATAAATTAATTTTTCTCACGTCAGATATTGATTTAAATAACTTACGAGAAGATCAGAAAGAAACATGTAAAGATTGATACATAACATTTTGCATCAAGATTGAATAATTGTCGGAATGAACATAATTGAACCAACAAGATATATGTCAGCAACTATTAAATACAAATTAAAGCTTTACTCAGCGGAAGTAATTTCCCTGCCAGATCACTTGTCAAGCGATTGCGATTGTAGATTAGATAGGACAAACGCAATCGCAGCGAATGACGGTGCACATTATCATTCGCGGAATTGCCGCATAATTAAAATTTATTTACGCGATATCGCCCGATACTCAGCGTATGTTACGACGGCCATGTAATACGCGACACACGCAAGATAACGATGCGCACGGCGCACACCAAAACGAACACGCAGGACCTCATTAAGAGAATTTACTGGCGATCGCGTTGCATTAAGCTCTCGCGAGGGCCGGTGCTAGCTTAACCGCGGCCGCATATAAATTGATAATTTCGCGAAAGCGCGCTTACTATGTACGCTTTAACGCCTGTGCCAAAGATATATGATCGGGATTACGCTTCTTGGGCGACGGAAATACACCGGATTACGAAAATAATTTTACTCGAAGGCTCTTCATTAACACGACCCTGTTTAAAAACACGCTTACTTCCGTTGAAGGTCTTTTCGCTTTTTAAAAAGACATTAGCTAACCTGCCTTTTCCTCAAAGAGAAAACCTCACAAAATTGCTCAAGTTGAATGCAATAATTTTTCTTCGCATGCCATTTTGTCTCCTTTTTTCTGTATTGAACAGAGTAGAAGATAATATGAAAAATAATGATCCTTTTCCTTTCAGGGGCATTGCAAAAGCGGGCGAACCCAACAATTTTTTACCAATGTCACCAGCTTCCTTAAACATGGATCCTGCCGTCTATGCGACTCTGAGAAGAAAGCAGAGGAGGCTCGCTAGAGAGAACCCCGGAGTGCTAACAGCGGTAGCTAGGGGTGCAAATCAGGCTGTCGTCGAATGTCAACATCAGTTTCGTAACCGACGATGGAATTGTTCGACGAAGAATTTTCTTAGAGGGAAAAATCTCTTTGGCAAAATCGTCGATAAAGGTAAGTATATCAATTAATTTACTAGTTCAATAATATATTCGGTGATATTGAGAATTATGAAAGAACATTTCTATACAATTATTCATCCATCCACAATTATTGTTTAATTAAAGAACTAAATTTAATTCCGCTGATTACTAAAAACAAAATATTTAAATGTCCGAAATAAGTTTTTTAAAGTTGCGTCGAGAAATAACACTAAATAAATTATGTTCTTGCTCTCGCATAATCGAAAAAATTGTACTGCAATAAAGATATAAAGATCTGAAAGATATAATTATTCTACGTTCCACAAGATTATCCATTGTGCATGATTGTTCTCGATATAACCGGTATTTCCGATAGAGATTTACTAGAGACGAGTTTTAGCAGAGGAAACGGGAGAGAAAAGGAACGAGGGAGAAGGCCGATCGCGACCGTTAAAATCGCGAGTGACAAATCTGTCAATTTGCTTAAGTCAACACAGGCTCGATACGTCTCGTAACACTCGGTAGATTAAGTAATAAGGTCGTTGTCTCGTCATCGCAATGCGTCATCGCGATAATCGCCGAGCGAACGACACCTTCGAGATAAGTCATGGATTCAGCGGATGTAAAGTCAATTTAAAACGACATCACTGGCCTCTTATCGGGTCGAAAAGCTTGTTACTTCGAATGGATCATATTTCATATTTCTCTTAAACTTACGTTTGCTATCTCGATTATATACAGTCATCCAGACAAACGCCACGAGCTTACTTATTAAGCTGCGTTTACATAAGATACGGTTGGATAAAACAAAAAATATGTAATATAAATAGTACTTAATGTATAAATTTTTAAACGAATCTAAATTTCAATTAAATGTATTAGATGCGACAAAATAAAAATACTGTTCTGTAAATATTTCAAATAAAACAAATAATTACATTTCGCTGAGATATTATTCTGTTACCATTTGAGATTATCGTGATCAGACACCCGCGGTGCTTTCGACAAGGCGCATTAACACCTCGTTCGAGTGCGAACGATCGCATAGATCGAGTGTGTAGGGCGCAAAGGCTCGAAGTCGTCGTGGGGTTAGAAGGGCCAGGGCACGGTGATCGCGCGAGGTGGCGAAGAAGGGAAGAGGGGGGGTCTCAGGGGGCGTGCCCTTCGTCCGAAGGCCTCGGGCACGTGCCCTCACCGGCCAGATGTATGTTTTGCAACCTGATAATGGACCTTCTCGTACCAGTTCTGGCTCCCCTGCGGCTCTTTTAGATCTCATCGAGGCGATTGTAAGCCGAGCTTTTTCGCTCGAGCCGCTCCCACCCCATTATGTCGAATGTCCCCATATGGCCACTTAGTAAAACTAAAAAAAAATTAAAAAAGAAGAAGCACACGGCGTGGAGGAAGGGAAGGGGGCGAAGAGTGCGAGAGAGAGTGCGCGCATTATTTTCACGAGCCTGTAACGCGTAACGCCTCGACGCCCAGAGACGTGTTTCGTTGCAATACGAGACGATCGTGATCGTCGCAGTGGGGCGACACGGATTGGCAGTTAATACGATGTTCCCTCTGGTGTGTCCGCGCCTAACACCGGTATCTAGTTGCAAATAGATTCGTATCGTCCGTACTAATGGTGTACTTTTTTCTTCCGATTCGCCCTTCAATCGCATTCACTCGTCGTTTGTTATGCGGTAACATATTGAAAACGATTGATTATTCATCCGACGCGATACTTCGCGATCATCTTTCTGATTCAGAGATTCTGTTACCGCATATTATGTTATACATTTCCTTGCTTTGTTATGTGTTTGTTCTTTATGGAATGTAGATGGAATTTATAGCATCTGCTTCGAGTCCTTGCTTGGTTTCGAAGTTTTTTTTGCAAAATCGTTCGGAAAAAGCAAAGGTATGCTTAATGTATTCATAATTCAACTCAACGCATAATACACTCCGAGCTTTGCATACGCGATACCGCGCTTAAGTTACGCGCTTCTTGTGCGTTATTACTATATTTTGCGACCGTTAGGGAACGAGCGTGCGGCCATTAGAAATTCCGTAAATTGAACGGGTGTCACGTACGGCATTTATATGACACCTGTAAGCGAAAAAGCGAGAGCGCCGTGTGGCATCCATAACGCTTGACGTGTTAATCAAGCTCCGAGAGAGCCACTCACGGATAATAACGCCGGTAGGGACGTGAATCCGTTTTTACATTCGCTTCGCACTTCTATGATACATTGTTCTGTCAAGGCTCGGGTAGAAAATTATTACACGTGAATCGTGGGATAAGTGCGTCACGCGGATTAAAGATCGCGATCGTAATGTCATTCCCGTCAAGATTAAATAACCGCTATGAGATATTAATTTGTTGCACGCGAAAAAACTGCTTACGATCGCACTCGCTGACCTGAACACGGGGGATATAACGGAGTATAATGGACGTCACAGAATATTTAGCGAATCGGTGGAATTTGCACACGTTAACATGCAAAAACGTTCTGCTTTGCGACACGAATAAAGCGCTCCTACGCGCAATTGGACACGCAATTACGCGCTGAGATTGATTATTTTTGCGCGTGAAAAACTCGAGGCAAAATTTAATAATTGTTTCTTAATAAATCGCCGTGATAGATTCAAGTTTATACAGACACTCACCCTTCCCTGCGCTTTCCGCAATAATCTGCCAGATCGCTCGCAGTCTCGCTTCCACGAGACGGGACCCACGACCTTTCACCTTTCGTCTTCATCGCCTCGTGTGAGCGCGGACCAGTTTCTTCCGCTCTTCTCGCTGCCGCTCTCGCTTCTCATATCTTCTTTGTCCTCGTATGGATCCTCGAGATTTGATCTTCGCTGAGCCGGCGCAGGGGAAACGCAGATCGCTATCAGCGAGCAGTAATGCACTCTCGTACTTGTCGCATTCGAGGATGAAGAGATCGGAGAGAGGAAGGGGGGTTCTGGAAAGAATTCACGAGTTGAACACCGGTCTAAACGGTCATTTCCGGATTACACGTAATACCACTTCGCTCTAACGTAACGTCAAACTGTCGGCAGTATCGTGCCGGAAATATAAGTCGTGAAAGTAGGATGACGATATTTAGATTTTTAAACAGCAGTATACCGTTGCGTTGTGTTTAGTCTCATATTGACATCACGCCGGACACGGCGTGATGTTGTATCGCAAATATACATATTTATCGTATCAGAGATAAAAAAACATAATCACGTAGAGATTCGTGGTGTTGTAAAAACTTTCGGTGTTTACGAAAGATATCTACATCTCGATCCGCTAATTTACAAATATAGATACTATATGTGTCCAGAGCGGGATAAGTAATACTTTACTGGGCATTAATTTGGCCGCGTTTCCACGAGGACGTATTATTAAGTGTAGGACAAGTTATCAATCTGCCTTGGAATTTCTAATAATGTATTCATGCGTCTGCACGAGGCAGATAATCAGCGATACGATAAAAACGCGTCGCGTCAATTAATATGTATGCGATTCGAAACTTTTGTCGACAGGTAACACGAGTTGAACATACGACATTTAAATTCAAATGTCGTGCGTAATCATTGCATATGTAAAAGAGTGGACGGGAGCAGCCGATGAGGCCGGCCAGGACTCCCCCGGGTCCGAGGAGTCGACGGATACTTTTGGCTGCGTTTGTACTCGATATTATAGCTGGTAGTGAGTGCGTTCGCGGCCTGTAATCATTTCGCCGCCAAGAGCCACCTACCGCATTGGTACCCTTGCCTTCCTCCGTTCTCCGTCTCGTTTCCTCCCTCGGCCACCTCCGCTCCTTTCTCTCGCACCTTTCTCTCGTGCCTCCTGCATCTTCCTCCTTCTCGGCACACAACGCGGCTCGCAAAAGCAAGCCCCCACAGCCTAATTGCTCGGTAAACTGCGAACCTCGCGAGACCCCGCTGCATCAGACGCGCAACACTGTCGTCTCTTCCTTTCTCAGATTACATCCGATGGTCACAGCCGAAATTATTCTCGAATTCGCGAAAAAAGTTGCACCGAACGAACCCGTTCGCGTATCAACGAATTTAATTCGAGGCTCGGTGAAAGAAAAGGGAAAGGTATTCGTTAAAAAATATAAATCATCGAATTTAATTGTCGACGGAATATAAATATTCGAGTAAAAGAAATGATTTTAATTTTCATCAACGCGCATGCAAATAATAGGATTTTTCTCCACCTGTGGTCTATCAATAAGGCAATCAATCAGCAAAAGAAATTCACGATTAGTTACGGGCCTGCACCCTATCCCACGAAATGACTTTGCAGCTCTGCGCGGTTTGCATTTCGCCTTCATGATTCTATTATAACTCAACTTTCAACGGAAGGCAAACAGCGTCTTAAGAAGGAGAGGAGCCACAAAGAGCTTCGAAGATAAAGGGCACAAATCCGTAACAAATTTCGCACTCTTTATACCGACTAATTACATTATATGCATTTCTTTAACAAATCCATACGATTCGAGTCGCACGGTTATTCTCCATCTTTTTCACCGAGTCTAACACGGATTCCTAATCTCAATTCTCATTCGAGGCGAAGCGGAGTGTATTCCGAATTTTTTTGCCGTACACCAGAATATCGACATAATCGGCCGTTTACAGGATAAATTCAATCAATACCTGTCCGGTGCGCGCGGTGCAGAAACGCGTCTTATATGGCGACATCGGGCGTTTTTTGCCGCGGCGTTACGCCGCCATAAATCGCGGCCTATGATGGGCTACATGTGTCGACGGCACGCCATGGTTTCTTGCGAAAACGTGAGATGCGACCCAATGGGCCCCGCGATTTTTACATCTTGTTTGTTTCCACGCGGCCCCGGCAAAGCCCGCTCTCGCTCACGCGGGCCTATATGGCGCTCCGTGTTATTTCGCGGTCTTCGAGTTCCTCGGGACTGTTCTGCCTGTTCTCGACTTCTCTTCGCCTTTCTTACTTTCCAAACTTCGTCAAGTTGCTGCCGCGATCGTCCACACCGCTTCGTTACCGCGCGGCGAGGAATATTATTCGTGAATAATGAAATAAAAATGTGAAGGAAAGATTTTAAATGTCTAATAGATTCTGTAATATTCGTGGAATTTTTCTTCAAAGATATATTCAGAGATATGAAATTACTGAAAGACTTGCTAAAAATAATACGCAGTGATCATTTATCTTTTAACTTGCTTCTATTAAATCGTCGTTTATCTTCACGATTCGTATCCTTGGGCAAACAGTTTAATTTTCCGTGTGTCCATTAAAAACGAAAGTCATTTTCAGCAGCTTTTACAGTCTTTCGAATCTGCATTTTTCTCTACACTGCCTTGAGTTGTAATAGCAATCTCTGTCACAACGCAGGTAGTAAATCCATCTTTCCATTCTTCGTCACGTTTGTAATGAATCATTGTAAGAAGCTTTATGTCCAACTTATCATTCAAAGTCACGGGCCATTATCCTGTGTCTAATGGTTGTATCACGACACATATCTACATTAATCATCACATCGTCGATATCGTCGCCAAGGACCACCATCGCCAGTATGTCGTTTTAGAGATTCCACGTGTAGGCAGTTGCACCATAACTTGTTCCGTCTCCCGACAGAAACTCGGACTGCGACAGTAGCAATAATTCCCAACGATCTTATCTCCGTGGAATTTCAGCCGAGACGCAAATGTCCCTCGTAAAGATGCGCGACGATGTCGCTTAGGATGATCTCGGGAACGACGAGAGTCACAGAGAGAGCGCGGATATTTGCTCTATATATCGAGTTGCTCTACATTGCAGCGAGGCGACTTTAACGAACTCTTTCTCGAATTAATTTAACGCGAAGCTGCAAATTACAATGAATAAATGAAAATATTTGACATGTTACAATTATTATTGGATAAAATATTTGTAATACGTCTATTGTTTCACTTGTATCGTCACTCAGTTCATTTTTACTTTGTTTTCTGTAAAAATCGTGTACTTCCCATGCCTTACGTCTGCAATGTTTCAAATCTGTCCGCCCCTCTCTTGCACTTCGTTGCGTTGTCGGGTACAGGTTCCGAACCAGTGCACAACCGAAAAATTTTCGTCGAAGTGTGCACGTGTGTTTACCCTGCGGACACACTCTGACTGCGCCTCCAACTTGCTCATACTATTTGAACGAGTTGATAAAGCCGCCGTCGAACTATTTATCGTGCGCGGAACAAGCGAGAACGGCGTACTCGTTCAGAGGGCAAACAATCGCAGTACCGGGATTATCGAGTCGCGCTTTTTTTTTTCCCCCCCTCCATCTGGATGCTTTCCTCATCTCGGATCTTTCTCCTTCGCGATCCTTCCTCATTCTTCATCCTTCTTCGTCTCACTCGTCTTATATTCTCCTGCAATCTCGCGCGTGTACCGATAACGGCATTCTCTCGCTGGTCTTGAAGATACGAGACCGCGACTCCGCTTATCTGCGCGAGCGACAGTCCGATTGTTTGAAAATCGTAAAACCCGACCGAGAGAAAAATCGAACGGGTTGGTTTCCACGAATTACGAAATCCCTGACGAAGCAATGAGTTCATCGAGCGCGTTTGCCGCGAGCGATTAACTTTGTCCTTACAAATATGTGGGAAACATGATTCAGCGCGCGTATGCGATTATATAAATATGCCGCATTTGTTTATTTAACAGAATGGAGAGAAAAGAGAAACGAAGGTAGAATTTAGTAAATTTAAAGTAAACTCTTTCCTTTTTCATCAAGAAAATAAAGCTGGACGAAACATTAGCAACAAAAATTAAAAAAAAATATGTGGAAAACAGCAAAAAAAAAGTGAGATTGGTGTCTTCTAATGATAATAAGGAATTTCTGAGGTTAAGTTTCGTTAGAGCGGAAAACGATATGAGCGCAGAATAATAGCGATATGTTGAAAACACATGTGATAATATCTCTTTCTTTCTGTTAACGGTCAACGCCCTAGTATTCTCCGTTGTTAAACGAACCCCTGGCACCTGTGACGTCTTTTCACTCTCGTTGTTAGTCTTTAGAACCGGCCACGTCTCGTCCGAGACGCAATGCGATCGCGAACGGGTATAATTCACTCCGTCATGGTGGAACATGACGTATAACAAATAATATCTGGAACCGATTTAGGGTGAGAGAAGAAACGGAATAAGGACCTACACGCAGCGGTAATAGGGTGTAACGACGTAAATCTCCCAAACGGGGAACCCTTCTGGCCCTCCCCTTAACTTGCCTTTCTTCGTCGTTCTTGCCCTCTCGCTTCCGCCAACGTGTCTCTGTGCACGAGGATTAGAAAACGCAGTCGTTGTCGTCGGTTTTTTTTTTTTGTCTACCTCTTCGCTTTCTTCTACGATTTCGTTCTATCTATTCTATGTGCTCCCTAGCGGTTTACTACCGTAAAGAGAGAAGCTAGATGAGAAGCTGCAACGGAAAAGACACGTGATGAATGCGAGCTCGTAGCCAAGGTTAAATCGTCACGGTGATCATCGGACCACCATCGTGTCGGCTCCGTCGCGTCATCCCTGGCCAGGGGTTGAATCGTTTGACGTCTTATTCTCGTTTCGATTTCTATCTCCGGAACGCACGTGCGTCGGCTCAAAAAAGTTTCCCACTTTCCGTAGATAGCATATTCCGCGGATTCAACTAGCAAAAAATACGAGATGCAAAATTACCGATCTCTACGTGTGCAACAATTATTAATTTTTATTTGATTATATTGTGCAGTTATTTTACGAAGAATGTGTAGAAATTTATCTATCATGTTATTTTTATGCGTATTGTATTAAATAAAATATTTATATAAAATTATCAAAAATTTTAAATTTGACTTAAAAAAAAGTAGAAGACGGTATAATATTTTTTTATTAATGAGACAACGTGACATTGTCTTGGACGGCGCGAGCTCGCAATTTATAAAATCGTTTTATTCGCTCCTCGCTCGTGATATCTTCATCAGCACAAAAGGAGCCGGCAAACACCTGCGTCTTATGCAGATAAGCTCGAGGTGCTTCGGGTTAGCCTACTCAGGGTTAAGGTCACGTACCGTCCCCTCACTCTGTCGTGTCTCTCTTTCTTTCTATCTCCGTCGTCCTCCCGTAGTCCTCGGTACTCCTGTTCTCCCTCACTACCACCTACCTTCCACCTGCGAGGACTTCTCGCGCAGGTAGTCTCCCGCAGAGGATTGAGACGTTGCCTGACGGCACTGTTCACCTCCCACGCGGCTAAACACGATGCAAGTTTTGTCTGTATTCTCGACGAATGTAAAAATATTGATATCTGTATTCGCGTTTTATGAACAAAATTAATATTTCACATAAAACGTACGTCTTATAATTTAACCAAAAAAATTGCGATCGGCGAAAATTGTATTGCCGGAAATTCTCAGGAAATATTATGCAACTGAAAAAAAAAAAAAAATTAAAAACTTAAATATTCGGCATTATGATAGTTATGTTAAAAGTGATGATATGTATATAATTGATTTTAACAAAACTTGGAGAGGCATTCGCTTTTTCAATTTGCTCAACCGGGAATTTAATTCCCAGCACAGCGCGCGTCATAAATTTCCCGTGATTTTCTTGCAGGATGCCGGGAGACCGCTTTCATCTACGCCATCACGAGCGCAGCTGTGACTCACAGTATCGCGAGGGCATGTAGCGAGGGCAGCATTCAGTCCTGTTCCTGCGACTATACACACCAAGCACGCGTACCATCCGCAGTACGGGATTGGGAATGGGGTGGTTGTTCGGATAACATCGGATACGGATTCAAGTTCTCCCGTGAATTCGTCGATACCGGCGAACGCGGTCGAAATCTCCGCGAGAAGATGAATCTGCATAACAATGAAGCCGGCAGACTGGTGAGCACGCCACTCTTCAATTCTTAGAATCATTTTGTACAACAAAGTTCAAAATTATTTCTCTTGAATAATGTTTCGCTTTTTAGAATCTTCAATTCGTGAAAAATATATTTCATCAATTTTAATGTTTAAAATTCCTAATATTTCTTGCTGTTTTTACTTGTCATCGTATTTCTAAATTTATCGAACAAATCGATAAATCCATCGTTAAGAGCAAAAAGCGCATCGATTTAAATGAAGGAGAAAAATTACCGGACATCGTGCTTTTCGTTACAGCACGTGAACGCGGAGATGCGTCAGGAATGCAAGTGCCACGGCATGTCGGGTTCGTGCACGGTGAAAACCTGCTGGATGCGACTGCCGAACTTCCGCGTGGTCGGCGACAACCTGAAGGATCGCTTCGACGGGGCCTCCCGAGTGTTGATCAGTAATTCGGATCGCGTGCGTAATAACAATGCCATCACCAGCAACTCGGCGAGCAACTCGGTGCATCATCATCGCGATGGCTTGGGACGTCGGCATCGCTACAACTTCCAGCTAAAGCCGTACAATCCGGAGCACAAGCCGCCCGGCTCGAAGGACCTCGTCTACGTGGAGCTGTCGCCGCCGTTCTGCGAGAAGAACCCGAAGCTCGGGATCCTGGGCACCCACGGGCGGCAGTGCAACGAGACGAGCATCGGCGTCGACGGCTGCGACCTGATGTGCTGCGGCCGGGGCTACAAGACTCAGGAGGTGACGATAATCGAGAGGTGCGCCTGCACTTTCCACTGGTGCTGCGAGGTCAAATGCCAGGTGTGCAGGACGAAAAAGACGGTACACACGTGTTTGTAAATCGGGAACTCGGTCGTGAAATATCGAGGGAATCATCATTCAGACAAGCTTTACGCAGAGTCGAACGATCGGAGCTTGAGCTCGCGCTCCGTTTTCGCGCAAAAATTCGAATGCAACGAATACGGAATACGCGACGAATAAACATTGTTCTCCCTTCCCGTTCAAAAGACTCTTATAATAGACTCTGATTCCGCGGGAGACTCGCCAGACGGAGTCCGAAGTCGTCGTGCGGAGGCCCGCGGGACCTCCTCCGTCTCCAGTATTACGCGAAACGAACGAAGCCACATATATTTATTACGTCGCGTTGCGCGCGTATTAAAGACTGAGATGGTGAGAAGCGTTCGCGCGATCGTAGGTCTTAAGAATTTAATATTGTGGGATGCATCCGGAGCGGCGTGAACGCTGGTATAAATACCGGTGCGAATAAAGAACCGGTGAATACCAGTATGATACCGGCTCGCGCTGTCTCGCGCTTACCGAACGAAGGATCCGACTGGTCCATCGTCACCCGTAAAAGCCCCGACATCTCAACCGTGACAGTAGCATGTGGTAGAAAAAAATAATTTAAGGCTATTATTATTCACATTCCTCGCTATTATGCGCATTCCGCAAAACTGGCTCGTTTGTAGCAGTTCGAAATGAATTCGTTGCACATCGTTCTCTCTGATCGTTTACGCTTCAATCACGTTGGATTATTATTTCGCGGTTGTACAGTTAACACAATCTCTATTTTCGGAAAATTATTAACCGCAATATATAAATCGGTGCGAAGACGCCTTCAATTATTTTATCCCACTATATGTAAGGTCTTCGTTTTAGGTGATGTTCATTGGTTGCAACGCGAGCATCGTGACCTCGCATTATTTATTCTAAAGGTGTCCTGTCCTCTGTTTAGTAGAGATATCCGTTCCTTCCGAGAAACAGGTATTCTCAGACACGGATCGCGTACTTGTACATAAATAGATTATAGTGATATATATTTTGCAGCATCGCGAGCCGATCGATGGCCAATATATTCTTATGATCTATTGTAAATAAAAGTTGACTCTTTTATGCAACGCGAAAAAAAAAAGTGACGTACGACATCGCGTATGGTAAATTATTTTTATATCTTTTTCATATCTCTCTTCGCCTTCTTTCTTCACCGAGTTCCGAGATTACGAGAGAATCCCGCAAGCTTAAAAGTATCTTCTACCATTGTTGGGTAGCGACTGTTCTTCGAATAAGAAAATGGTGATTCCAACATTGTGTATAATAGATGTATTAATTATTGCTCGTAATTTATGCAAATGAATATATAAGAAAAGATTAAATAAATGACGAAAATCATATTTCTGGTATTTCTTTTTGCGCCTTATAAATGTTTCTCTCCCCTTAAAAAATTATTAAAATTTTTTATTACATTTTCTTCGACATGTATTTACAATAATTTATCGAAAATTTACTAGAAAAATAGAAATTATATTCTACATCTTTGCTACTTGCTTCTAGAAAAAAAGACAAAAATTTATTATTTCTTAATTACTTTTTAGCAAATTCTCTTTATCTTCTTATCGAAATAAGTAAGCTTAAAAGAAGCGTGAGTTGCTTTCGTCCATTAAAAATTAAGAATATTCTAACAAAGTTCTCCCACCCCGAACGCTCGAGCCTCGATCGCGGATCTCCGTGACGAGATCTACGAGCTATCCCTCGATCTCCGGCCCTCCCTCGACGCGCCGCGTTATGTCGCAGGACTATTCAATATTTTCCCATTACACGATGCGCGCCGCCGACGACGTACTCCCGCGAAATATAGCCAACTGGTTCCCCAGCTGGACGACTTCATAACTTCTGCGCCGAGTGAATGTCGTGGGAGGCCCATGCCCCGAGGAGGACTGGTTCGGCTCTCCTCATCCTCCTCCTCCTCCGTCTCCCTCTCTCGCTCCCCCTTCCCCCCCCCTCTCCCTTTTTCTCACCGCGTTCTTTCTTCCTGCATCTCTGCCTTCCACCGTTTCAGCGTTCAGCGAATGCTGCACGCGATGATAACGAACGCAGGAATCCCGCAGGAATCTCCGCGCGGGATAAAAGGACCCTGACCGCATACGAACAGGCATCCGCGCTAATGGTACCAACACTCCATCGCCGACCTACCGGCTTTCTTTCCCTCCCTTTCACCTTTTTTTCCACACGCTTCCCTTCCCTCCTGCGATCTTCCTTCTGCTTCCTCCTTCTGTGGTGTATCTACCGACGGACCACCAGTTCTTTTATCTGCCGTTCATATCCACGGATAATAGGTATTTCTTTGAGATTTATAAATTGCGTTCTAGAAGCTTTTATAGATAGATGGATGCTATTCAGACATTTTTTATTCCACTTCCGTTAGATTAGTTATATCGAGAAGTTATAATGGCTGTGTAGTAACAGAGAGTCGTGCGTCGGAACGACTGGATTGCAATAAAATGGGATGAAATGCAATCTTCACATGATAGAAAGATGATCTGTATAATGGTGTGCTTAGTGAAGCATATTTATTAGTATGCCACAGCACAACAAGTTTATAATTTTTACATTAAGCGCTCTAAAAAATCTTGTCTATCTATTGAGCCAAAAATATTTGTCATTTTAGGACTGAGATGTCAAAATCACGACAGAGAGTAACACCTCGATAATTCGAGAAAGGTGCTATTTGCACAACATGTATCGCAGCTGCTTTGTGAAATCAAATCTCGCCAAAGATAACGCCGGAATTCAGAACGAATCAATCAATACGCCCGATTCAGTATCCACGCGTTCGTGTGATTGTGCAGCGGACGATCAACTTCCGCCATCGAATTTGCGAATCAACGTCCGCCGCAGTGAGATCCACACCCGGCGATGCGGCACCATGGGGATGGTGTACCGCGATAGTAAAACAAATTCTTGCCGCGAGAGAGAGAGGCTGCCAGCGTCCCGGCAGACAAGAATCTCGGGCAGCCGGACCACTTCTCACGGCGGTCCCTTTGATCTTACCTGACCTACCCACCCCCTGGTCCCCCACTCGACCAACGGCAGCACCAGCACAGCCCCTCAGCTCTCCTCTGCTCCCCCCGCTCGCGCGAGTTCGGGTTTTTACTCCGGGCCGGCTCGACGTTGAGCGGCAGCCGACTCTCTCCCTCTCCGCCTCCTCCCTCTTGACCTCTATGCATTCTCGAAAAGCACGAGCGCGTTTCTGGAGGCGGCTCTGCGGTGGATTCATTCAGTTTTACTATTATTACGCATACCGTCACGCGTACGCGGTTTGTTTCAACCCGGGGAATGTGATCCCGACGATCTCGCCGAGGCGCTCGATACGAGCGTCCGCTTAATGGAGCCTCCTCGGATGACTAGGAGGACTGGCGGGACGCGTAAATGCGACATGTCGTTAAAGGACATCCTTCCCGCGGCTCTCTCGAGGCGAACGCGTGCCGATTTCGTTCCGCGAGTCCTTCTTGCGATTCTCCGCGAATTCCAGCGAGATGGACGCAGCAGAAATTTGCTCAAATGTAAGAACGTTTTAAACCTTTTTTGAACCTTGGAGATTTACTTTCTTTGTAACATTATCTCCACTTCAATTTTAAATCTCTATAATTTAGAACTATTGCAGCTCTATTTTTTATTTACGCAAAAGGCAACACTCTAAATCAGATAAAATATCTAATTAAAAAATTGAATTTTTTTCTAATCCGGCACATGCTTTATTATGCTCACATTATTCTTCGCCTGAATATGTAATCTTCGTAACTCCCGTATAAAAATAGCGTCGCTAATTGCAAGTATTATTATTCATCAATGTAGCGATTCCTCTATTGATGCTGAGATTAAATCCGACTTTTTTTTGGCTCACCCTCATAAAATCGATGACAGCTACAGCTAATTGGGAATAAAGTGCGCCGCCGCGTCATCGACACTTTCTACCAGCGGCTCCTTTCGCTGCATTATCGTCATTTGAATCTTTCGCATGGTTTCCTCGCCGGCGAAGAGAGGAGAGCGATCCCTGTCTTGAGCGCCGCGATCTGATAGAGGCGACGAAAACATTTAGAGGTATATAAGAGCCCCCGGGACGATAAAATCGGGGCAAGCCAGGCGGGCGGAACGACACGCGGCGTGTCGTGCACGAACACACGCGCGTGGCATCCTGATGGCCTCCTCTTCACGAGCCACTCCACACACGGAGGCACTCGATTGTCATTCCTGTAGTGTGCATTTTGTATTCTCGGAGCGCAAGTCGAATGCAGGCGCGGATACACATAGGAGGTGCGCTAAATCATTATTGCCTTCGAGGACTTGAAGAACCTCTGTGATGGATCTTACGTTGATTTTTAATGTTGTAATACGTCAATGTACACATTTTAATTAGGAACATTCATTCTGCTAGATTGTAAGTAAGCAGTTTGTTGTAATAAAGTGTAGCATCATAAAAAGCTATTATATTATCTTTTTTTTTTAACTAATAGATATAAAATTCAACTAACGTTTGAAATATGCAGTGAATAAATTCTAAAAAATGCGTTAAAAAATTAATTGACATTTTATAATGTTTTTACTAAAATTGAATAAAAGGAGCATTCGATTTGCGGAAAAACTCAAATGCACACTTTGTTGGAAAAGCACGACGAAAGAAGATGTGACAAAGTTTCGAATTTTTGCCCTCGGCTCTGTGATACCTTTGCCCATTTTCGAATGATTCCCGATAAAAAAATGGCGCGCACGTAAATCAACTAATTTATCGTTTTTGCGATCAAGCCGAATAGCGGCCCATTTTGTTCGCCGTCGTTGTCGCCGTCGTCGGCCACGTCGTCGCCGGGATACAGGAATGGTTGGAATCTCTTTTGGCGGGACCTGGAGCTCGTCGTCGCGGTCATCCGTGGGAAAGGATATCGGCAGACGTTCAGGACCACACCGTCGAATTATCGGCGTTTTGGCATGTTATAAGGTTCCCGACGCGAGACGCATCCCCTCTGCCACGTCCTTGGCTTCCTTCGCCTCATTTCGCTTCCTCGATCGTGCCTCCTCTGGATGTCCTCCTCCGTGGAACCAGCAAAGAGAATCTCCGGCGGAATCCGCATCTCCGACGACTGTGGGAACGAAATCGCGAGACGGCCGCTGCTCGACATGTACCAACGTGTCGGTCGACACCCGGATTCCTTTCGTGTCCGCCGGCCTTTCGTTCCTAACTTTCGAGAAGTTTTTCTTTCTCTCTCTCTTTTTCGTTCCTCATTGCTGACGATATTCTTGTCTTCAGTTATTTCACGACGTTCGGCGGAATTATTAGTGGACTGGAGATGTCGTAGATTATTCGAAAGTATTTGAATAATGGAAGTATCTCGGCAGAGGGTCGAATAAAGTTTATAGCATCTTTATTCGTCCTTTCTCTGATCCTAGACGATTCAGGCAATTTCGGGCATTCAAGCAATTGGAAATAACTTTGAAACAATTGTTGTAAAGTTGATTGCATTCTTTTTTTTAATTTTCCCTTATTGTATTTATGTTAGAATCGATTCTCATTTTTGTGAATTAATTAATAATCGTTGAATATGTGTATAGCAAAGAAATACGATGACTACTTTCTTAACCGACAGCGTCTTCTAGTTAACATTGATGACGAGATTTAACAACCGATTTGACATTGACGTGAAGAAAAAAAGAATATTTGCGCATTTTGCAAGGCAATTCTAAAGAAGCGACAATCTCAGCGCGCAAGAAATCTCAGACTATCCTCGCGCTTTCATCCGTGACGGTCGTAGCAAGTAAGTAAGTCATTGAAGAACCCGAAGAGCGCACCGGACCACCCTGGGCGATCCCGTGGATAATCCACCGGGCACCACCGGGTAGATTTACGTATCGCGTTCGCCACGGGTCCCGGGGGCGATACACGTTCGTGGATCCTACGAGAGCTTCATTACTTTTTTCTGGCCCGGCGCACGATGAATGACTTAATTCTCTCAGGATAGAGACAGAGAGTCGCGACGATGCGGACATCAACGATGAACGCGGAGGCGAGGACGGGGAAGAAGACGAGGAAGAAGAGGATTGGAGCGCGTAATACGTGTCCAGTGGTCGCGTCCTCTTTCGTAAGATCGAGAAGCGGAGATGACGCCGTGAGTGGCGTGGCGAATCACTGAGATACCGCCCGGGAAAATCAACAATTGGCCTCCCTTTAATTCGAAAAACACACACAGCGTTCTGCTCTGTTCTCTCCTGCTCGGCCAGTCCGACTTTTTCTCAACTTCTTTCTCGCGGCCCTCGCGACACTCCGCCCCTCGCATTCGCGTTGATTCCCAGACAGAACGCGACGGTGA